AAAGAAAGAAAGGAGGGAAAAAGAAAGAAAGAAAGAATCGCTTGAAAGAAAGAAAGAAAGAAAGAAAGAATCGCATGAAAGAAAGAAAGAAAGAATCGCTTGAAAGAAAGAAAGAAAGAAAGAAAGAAAGAAAGAAAGAAAGAAAGAATCGCTTGAAAGAAAGAAACTTCGATAGTTTTTCAACTAACCTTGGTTGCTATGTTATAGTCCGCTGGGCAAGCCATATGAATTAGTAGGTTTTTAACAATTATATCCAGCCTAATTGCTTCAGACTCGTTGTCTGTAAAGAATCCCATAGAATCGGGATGTCTTCTATTTCTGTAATTGGTACTGGGTGATGTACATACGAGTGTTTATTAACATCTTTTCGCAAGTGTTTGCACATTGCCTGGTGTAAATATTTGCACCAAATTATCAAGACGGTTTTTCTATTCATTTGGTACAGAACATCCTGTGATTAGATTGTCTATGGTTTCCTGATATTTGTCTCAGAACCTGCATTTTGGACCCACGCTTTTATGTTTGATATTTGCCTGAAAGTTCCTTGTGAAAAGACTCTGGTCTTGCACTGAATCCTTCCGTTTCAGCCTTTAATCCAGATGCTTGTAACCATCGATAAGTGTTAACTTTATCAACATCGGCTTTATTAGCCTCGTTCTGGATATTGGCCATGCAGAAGCTTGTCTTGCCAGTGTTATTTCATATGTTCAAGAGTTTTATCCTTGGCTTACTTTTTCATATTTTTTGCTGCAACATTTGGTTCTTGGATTCTGTTCTGGTTTTCTACAGAATCTACTAAATATAAATGCCATTTGTATTTACAACCTTCTTTCATTTTTTGGATTTTTTTTCCTTTCTGTTTTCGTGTTGTTTGACTAATTCTATCATCCAGTCTTTTGTTGTTTCGGTGAATTAATAAGCCAATAGTTATTGCCCTGTATGACAATTCTAGCTGAATAAGTCTTGTTCCCCCTTCTTCACAGGATATATATATATATATATATATATATATATATATATATATATATACAGTCTGCATCGACCTTTGGATGATGCATGTCATGCATAGAAAGAAGCTTTCTTGTCATAGAATCCATTCGTCTGATGTAATTTAGAATCCAGTTCAAGATGTTGAAACTATATTGAACCACTGGGATGGTAAGACAGTTAATGGCCATAATTTTGTTCTGAGAATACTATTCAGTTTTTATTATTAGTTGCACCATTCTATAGTACTCTTTTCGCACTATTTCTTTTGTTATTGTGAATTCCTTCACCCTTATTCAGACCTAGGAACTTATAAGCTTCATCTTGTTCTAAATCTTCGATTGTTACCCCAGGGTCTAAGTGTCATGGGTCCTTACCTATAACTACAGAATGAAGAGAGAGGGTCGAATCTCTTTTCGACTTGACGGTCGAACTCTCTGCTTTTGAGTTAGAATGAACGAGGTTCCGCCGAAGGGCAGAATGTTCGGGGTGAATGCCTGATCTCGTTTTTACGAGTTATACGAGATATTTTTGGCGAATCAAGCCCACGATAAAATGACCTTTTCGATGCAACCCCTCGTGGGGGGGTGGCTAGATACTGAATCAAGCCGATCTTTTCGATGGTCGAACTCTCTGCTTTTCAGCAGAAAGGAACCCGGACGAGGTTCCGCCGAAGGGCAGAATCTCGTTCGGGGTGAATGACCTACCCTATCTCGTTTTTACGAGTTATACGGGCATATTTTTTGGCTGAGCCTACGGGCTCAGGAAACCCACGATAAAAATGACCTTGTGTCGCATGCAACCCTCGTGGGGGTGGCTGAGATACCGAATCAAGCCGATCTTTTCGACTCTTTTCGACGGTCGAACTCTCTGCTTTTGAGCAGAAAGGAACCCGGACGAGGTTCCGCCGAAGGGCAGAATCTCGTTCGGGGAGAATGACCTACCCGATCTCGTTTATACGAGTTATACGGGCATATTTTTTGGCTGAGCCTACGGGCTCAGGAAACCCACGATTTTTTGGCTGAATCAAAGCCTACTTGACGGTCTCAGGAAACCCGGACGAGGTTCCGCCGAAAAATCTCGTTCGGGGAGAATGACCTTGTCTCGTTTTTACGAGTCATGCAACCCCTTTTTGGCTGAGCCTGGGGATAAAAATGACCTTGTGTAGATACTGAATCAAGCCGATCTTTTCGACTTGACGGTCGAACTCTGCTTTTTGAGCAGAAAGGAACCCCCTGACGAGGTTCCGCCGAAGGGCAGAATCTCGTTCAGGGGGTGAATGACCTACCCTATCTCGTTTTTACGAGTTATACGGGTTCATATTTTTTGGCTGAGCCTACGGGCTCAGGAAACCCACGATAAAAATGACCTTGTGTCGCATGCAACCCTCGTGGGGGTGGCTAATACCGAATCAAGCCGATCTTTTCGACTTGATGGTCGAACTCTCTGCTTTTCAGCAGAAAGGGAACCCGGACGAGGTTCCGCCGAAGGGCAGAATCTCGTTCGGGGTGAA